ATGTAGAGACCTTATTTAGAGAGAGAGAAAAAAAGGAACGGAACCTTCTTGAGAGAGTAGGAGAGAAAAAAAGAAAAAAGTGAGCGGATTTGTCCCTCTTGAAAGAGAGAGAGAGAGAGAGGAGAGAAGATAAACTTAAAGAGTTTTTCAAAACCCATCACGGTAATGTGAATATAATTACTGTTAAGGTTATTTTTTGTTAAAATAAAAAAAAATAAAAAAAAAAAAAATAAAAAAAAAAAGAAAAAAGAAAGAGAAAAGAAAAAAGAAAAGAAGAAGAAAGGTGGATGAAGTTTATGAAAGTAAAAGGGTTTTTTTTTTTCTAATAAGCTAAAAATTAAGATTTATTTTTTATAATTTCCTAAAAATATATATATTTTCTAGCGGGGATCATTTTCTCTATCGCGAGCCCAAAATGGAGAAATTTATTTCTACTCCTTCACCCTAAAAAATCTTCCTTTTTTTATTTTGACATGATCACATAATTTTATTAATCAAAAAATGAGTACATAATTAAAAAAAGAAGAAAAAATAAGGACAACTTGCAAATCCACACCATGCTTGCGAAGTTTGAGTTAGCCTCCCGGTATATATGCTGGAAAGAAACTTTCAAACTTCGAGAATAGGTCCAAAATTCTCATGCACTTCTTTCGCAACTGCCATGGAGGTCGTGAAATATGAGTGCACCATTTAGCGAGTCCCCCTCAATTATGCGTGAAATATGAGTGCACCAATTTGTGACATTTAGCGCGTCCCCCTCAATTATGCAAGGAACTTGCACTCCTCTATGCATTAGCAACTGCACACCTCTTTCCAATACCTACATTTCGCTTCAATAGCTGTCAATTCCCCACTTGCTCTTGCATAGCAAACCAGTATACCTGCTGAATGCCTTCAAAGCCCGAACGTCCTACATTAACTTTGGAACTTCCATAAAAATTAAGCTTCAAACACCAACTCAAGGGTTGCACCCAATGTCCTCTCGGTCTCACTCTCGCCGACCTTTGGTTGATCAAATTTTCAAAGATTAACTTCCATATCAATCCTTGGAGTCCCAAAATCCTCCTTGGTTATAGAAAACCATCTCTGTGTTCATGATTATTCTTTTTACCATTTCAACCTCCAACGCTTGACTTTCGAAAGTTTGTCTATTGCGCTCCAACCAGATTTCCCAAAGCACAGCTGCCCTACAATTCCCACCTTCCGTAATCCATCCAAACTCAAATGATCCAAAATGTTCATATGACCATTGGCAACACACTTGCAATTCCCATCTTCCTAAACATCCATTTCAACACTCTTAACAGTATAGGAACAATTGAGAAACAAGTGGTTTCCCAAATTCATCACTCTCCTTGCACAAGATAACAATGTCTTACCCCTTCATCAGCTTATAAATTGTAAATGTTTTTACTTGGAAAATAATCTATAAGAAAAGTTTAACTTTATATGGAACTTTCCAACACCAAATCCGTTTCAACGAGCTTCTATTCTATCTTACTGTATCATGGAATAAAAGATTATACCGTGTATCATGGAATAAAAGATTATACCGTGATTTTACTGTGAATATCCCGTCACTTTCAAGTTCCCAAACAACTACATCATCTCGATCAGCTGTTGGATTCATCCCCTGAAGAGCTTCCAATAAGTATGTGAATTGACCAATGATCGTATCCATAACCCTGTTGTATCGGTAGCTGACTGTCCAAGACCTACTTTGCAAATCAAATGTCTGAGCCACAGTCAATCTCTGCTGAGCAGCAACATTAAAGACTCAAGGGTTAAGCATCTCGCAATAGACATTCTCCCTTTCTGTGCCAAACATCCATTTCAAATAATCCATCTGCAATGTCGCGTTATAAAGTCCTTAGCTTGTAGTAATCCTTTCCATATTGCAGATTGTTGTATGGCCCAACCTCCATCACCAATTCACGAATTTCACTGATTTTCCCCGTACTTTTCACAAAGAATGTCTTTCCATAGCATACCATATTCGCTCAATGCTCTCCACCCCACCCCAAAAAATATTTCTTCCTTCCTACCAATTTGTTGTCAAAAGCGGAAACCCTACTCACCCAAAACTCTCTCTCTCTCTTTCTCTCCCACGCACACAGAATCACGCATCACGCACAAACGCCTTAAACGACCCCCACGTTCACTCCCAATAGCAAAAACCTCCATTATCCTCTCTCCTCATTCAATCCTCTCTCTCTCTCTCTCTCTCTCTCTCTCTCTCTCTCTCTCTCTCTCTACTACTACTACTACCTACTACTACTACTACTACCTACTACTACTACTACTACTACTACTACTACTACTACTACTACTACTACTACTACTTACTTACTTAC